ATTCAATCACATTATTATCTGGCTTACAAAATGGATATTTCAACAGGTGAACATTTCTTCCTAGTACAGTTGATAAAACTACAAAATATCTTCAACAGACAATATCACATTTCTTTGTACCATTAATGCTTTGCCTCCCTATTTTTCTTCTAAATGTTCTTCCTCAGACCCTCCTCTTCACACACAAAAAAAAAAAAGAAAAGAAAAGAAAATGAAGCAGGACCACAGCATTTAATAACCATACCTCTGCTTTCCTAAGGTGACATGGACCATCTATAAATCTGAAGGATCACACTATGGAGAATAGTTAAGTATCAGAATTTGAGGAATAATTGAGAGTCAGCACAAACCCTGGGGAAGAATTTACCTCTTGTTTTATACACCTGTGTATTATTTACTCTGGATGGGAAATAACATTTTGTAGCTTTGTGTGTGTGTGTGTGTGTGTGTGTGTGCGTGTGTGTGTGTGTGTTCTGTTTCAAAGAAAAACACTGCTTTCAAATTCTAAGTTTTTTACTAATTTTAAATCTCAAAGCCATAGTTCATATGTCCGTCCTTCAGATCAGCTGGATCCCTCCCATCCCCTGATAAGCATGAGCACTTCATCCTCCTGCTTTCACAGCCTTCGTCCAAAAGCATTCCCTAGGATCTGACTTACACCACATTTTGCAGACCTATTCCTGGTCCATTTGGTACTTACGGTCCCTGGATACAGCTTCGACACCTTAATTATTGCCCCAACACTTTACACTACTTCTAATGGCATCACCGTCTTCTTTTTTTATTATTATTGTTTTCTTCTTTTCTTTCATGAGAGAGACAGAGACATGGAGAGAAATAGGTACCCTCATCAGGTTATTCATGCTACAAGTCACCCCACGTCTCAGTCAGGCCAAATCAAAAGCATGAGCACTCACATCCAGTGTGTACATGGAAGCCTTGGTGGGAACAGCAGATGGCATAATGGTTACATTGCTGGACTCCCAGGTAATCGAACGCAGTTCAAGTCCCAGACCTGGAGGCCTGAAACTCGTACTGGGTGTTTGTGCGTGCATGCCCAAAATCCTGAGAGGAGAATGGAGAAAGGATTGCAGCATAGCCATCCCTCCTGGGGGGTGATTTCTCATTTTCTGTCTCTCTGTATCTCTGTCTCTCTGGGTGCACAAAATCTATAGCAAACATCTCTTAAAAAAAAAAATGGAAATCTTGGGATGTGAATCCAGAACCTTTTTTGTGGGTTTAGTTGCATTAGCATGGCACTACCATCTGGCCCTGCCTTCTCATTTCATCTGGACTAAAACCTTGTTCAGTTCAGTTGGCCCTGGAGAACTCTTCTCTAACAGTCACTCTCATCAGGTCTCATCAGGTCTCTACAGAGCCCAGAAAATGGAACCCAAACATATCCTCTGTCACCTGGACTAAGCTCTTTGTCCATCCTTACCATGCCATCTTCTTTATCCTACTGTTGTATGGCTCTTTTAAAATTCTAACTTTATTTGAGATAACTGACTTTCAAAGAGTTTGATTAGAATTTTGGCCCTTGAAATTTAGTTTACCTGAAGATAAGAAATGGCACCAAAAGTCTTACAAGGCTCATGGCAACAATTAACTTCAAAATTTCCTGACCACAATAATCTGCTCATGCTGGAGCCTGCTGAGGAAGAAATGATTTAAAGCAGTAGAGGCTCGGGAGCACTGAAAATCTAGAGACCTGAGTTCAGGTTTTCACTCTCTTCTGCCTAGTGTCTTCCTGGCATGTAACCCTGGATTGAGAACTTGACCCTTATCCTCTGTTGCCTTTTTCTATTGCGTGCATTTAGATCCAATGCTCTCTAAGGTGCCTTTGATTTCTGAAAGGCTATTAGTTTAGGCTGAGTTGAAATCAGCAATGCATGGGCCATATGGTGGTACAGAGTTAAAACATGATGCTCTGCAATTGCATATGGAAGGTTCCCGATTCAAGTCCAGACACTTTCCTGGGTATACCAGACACATGCTTGCCCATGATCTGGGGTTAGCTGAAGGCTAGGGTTAGATCATTATATCAGGACGCTGCTAGGAGTGTTCTTCCTCTTTATCTCTCTCACTCATGGAAGAAAGACATAAAATCAGAATAAGTATATAAATAAATAAAATCAGCCATCCAGTGATGAACAGGTATGCATACCACTTCAGGAGTAGAACCAATGAGGCACACAGCTGAGCAAGGGAGAACGTTGCCTAGTTGTTTTTCAATGGCTGAGCAGGTGGCTAGAACCAGCAACATAGGCCTTGATAGTGAAGCGGGAATATAAAGCCCCAAAATTGTTTGTCATAAAGGATTCCATGCCCAATAAAAGGAAGGCAGATGTTCACATAAAGTTTTTGCTGTTTGTGTTTTTGTGGGGGTACTTTTTGGATGTGAAGTTTATTAGACAGACCCAGCAGCATCTGTCTACCCATGCCACATAATAGTGTCTTACAGTCCATTTATAGGATTGGAATTATTTTCATTAATGATTTTCATGGGGATAGATGAAATGCAATACGTACTAGCTGTAACTGTGTTTGTCATGCAGCTGCCTTCCAGGGAAACCCTCCCACCCCCAAGCATCATAAATGTCTCCATTGTCAAAGAGCTTATTTGGTTTGGAGAATGAGAGACAACATTTAGAATTTAGTGAAGAGGTTTTCCATTGGTCTGGCTTAAAAAAGTAGGACATATGAAAACCTTTAAAGGCTAAAAAGCTCATTCAAACTCTTTAAAGGGAATGGGGCCATGAGAGGCTTATTGGTATGAGTTAAACCAAATTAAGTATTTGCTATATTTCACAATAAGGTCCATTGTATTTTGATGTCAAAATATTTATCTAGGAAACCTAGGGACTTCCTTTTAGTTCTTCTCCTACTCTGCCCAACAACTGCCTGGATTCATAAGAAGGTCTTAGAATTTCGGATTTAGATGGGACTAGAAAGATCATCTAGTCTAATTTTTCTCACAAACTATGAGTCTCTCATAGAGAATCCATGGCAAGTATTGTAAGGTTCCTTTCTTGCCTCAGTTATTTTTTTTTCTTTTCCAATCCATATTATGGGTTAGAAATAATAGCTGCTATAAATTAAACGCTGTAATAGATTTGAGTTCTTGAAGGCCAAGTAGTCTTTAGAGGGTCATGACTTGATTGTTATACTCATCTCTTCCAAGATTAACTTTCTGGCTCCACGCACCTGGGCAGGGTTGGGTGCCCCTCACCCGCAGCCACATAACACACTTGACATACTCTCACCCCTCAGTGTGGTGATTGTCCTTGTGCTTAGCTGCCTTCCTCACAATGCAACCTGACCTAGAGCTGGACACATGAAAGGAGATCATGGTACATATTGCTGATGAATGAGTGAATAACTGGCCATATAATCACAAGGGGATATAAAGGACACATGGATCCAAAGCCCCAGTGGAAGTACTGAGAGGGGCAAGAAAAGGTTCAAGGTATAGTTTCTGATCTTCACTGATATAAAATTAGTGGGCTGGCCCCCTCTTTGCCCTACTAAATTTCTTGAATAGAAGATAATAGATTGAAATTGCAATAGAAATTTATTCTGATCTATGTTTTAATGTGACACTGAAAATGAGTAGACGGTTTTCCTTTGGATATTTGCACTCAGCATTCAATGTCATTGTTTCTGCCTGTCAAAGGAGCATATTCTTTGGCTACTAGTACATTAGGTTAATAACACCATACTATTTTGAACTGAACAAAGTCAAGTTACCAACCTCCTGTCTGGTGTTGATTGGAGGTAGTAAAGATAACTCACCCCCTCAGTTTGATCTCAACAACCCACAGTAAAGCACCTTGTATGTGCTGAATGATATTTTCTTTGAAAAGCTTCAAATACCTTCTAGGTAGGACAAGGTGGAGCCTCACTTCACTCCTGCCAGGTAGGAAGTTAGAGCATTATGAGAAATTGCTAAATATTTGATGTACCTCAGACATTGTTGCAAAGATGATTATGGCTTAAAAGACAATGTTGACATTAAAGCATTAATTCTAACTGTACTTAACAAAAGGCCATAGGATTAAGGATTGAAATAAGAAATCTGACCTTAAGATATCATGAATTTGGGGACCAGCAGTTAGCATAATGGCTATGTCGCTGGACTCCCACATAGTCGACCCAACGATTTGAGTCCCGGACCCAGTGGCTTAAACTCATGCCGGGCGCATGTGCGTGCATGCCCAAGATCCCAAGAGGAGAATGGAGGAGAAGGGATTGCAGCATGGCCATCCCCCCTGGGGGGTGATTTCCTGCTTTCTATCTCTCTATCTCTCTCTGTCTGTCTGGCGAGTGCACGTGCCCTGTAGCAAAAACCTCTCAAAAAAAAAAAAAAGTAAAAAAAAAAAAGATATCATGAGTTTAGACTTGGAATAATTGACCAAGATTCAGTCCAGGAAAATACCATAGCAACCCCTAAGGATCTCCATGACTGGCCACATTAGGTGGCTCCATTTGATTTTACCATTTTGTACCTGTCTTACTCTGTTATTGTGTTGCTTAGAGAAATAAACAAGACAAGGTGATTTATAAAAAATAGAGGTTTATTCCAGTGATTAGAAAGTTCAAAGGCATTCAGCTGGCATCAGGCTGATTACAACGTGGTCAATGTAAGCAGAGAGGATAGTGAGCTCTCAAGAAGAACCTGGGGACAGTCCATTTCCTCTGCACAGCCCACTTTCAGGAGAACTAAGCCCTTCTCAGGAGAGCTAGAGCTCACTCAATCTCTCATGAGGCAGCATTAATCCATCTATGAGGCCAATACTTCCGTGATCCAACTAACATGATATAATCATTGCCCACTTGGCCTTTCCACCTCCCAACACCATCGCATTGAAGACAACAAGCCAAACAGAAACTTCTGGGGACAAACCACTATCGAAGTCATAACAGTACCATAGGTTCCTTTTATATTGTTTCTCCAATCTTCCACCCAGCCTAATTCTACAATTTCTTTGTGTTTCTAGTTCCTTCTTTCTGGGGATTGGTGAACTCAGCTTGGAATCTTTGCTCTGTGGGGAAACGGCAGTCGCCAGTCAACATAGAGACCAGTCACATGATCTTCGACCCCTTTCTGACGCCCCTTCGCATCAACACTGGGGGCAGGAAGGTAAGCCACCATGTTGCATCCATTGTGAAGTTGAAAGGGGAAAGGGGGGTGATGCTGATTCTAAAAGCAGATCCCCCAGACCTCTGTCTCTGTAATGAGTTTGTCTTCTCACCTAGGAAGAGATCTCTGGCCTGCTGCCAACAAATGTAATTGTGCTAGAATGTGCTTTTCCCCCTAGCTAGTCAAACTCACGCTCTTTTAATTACTCTGCATCCCCTGGAGGTTGCCTATCTCTTAGTACCCCACAAAGATCAGAAAACATAGTCGCCTTTCTTGCCTGTCATGCTGGGAATTTTTTTCCTCTTAAAAACTTCTTTACTAGGCCTTCTTTTCACCTCAATGAAGTGGGAAAAAATTTACAAAAGTAAAATCAGGCATTTATCATCTTGGGAGTGGAAAAAAAAATCACCTTAGAAGGTTTATAAGAAAATCAATAATTAATCTTCCCAGGGGCATCTTGCTGGTTAAAAATCCTAGTCCCTGTTCAGAGATACTGAGCCGGACTTTATGATTCTCACACCTAAATCCTTCCTTCCCTCTTCTCTCCCCCCATAATGAGCTCCTCCTTAATGTGTAGAAGGAGAAGGGCATAGTGCCCACAGGGTCTCCTCATTTCTGGAATCTAGCATTTGTCCTGCCTGCTTGTCTCTGTTTGGCTACCTTTTTCAGTTGAATAGGTTGTTAAAGGTGGAAAAACCCATGCACAAACACAGAGTAAATTGTGTTCGAAGGTGATTTAGCTATTGTAAACTCAAGAGGAATGGAAAGTCATTTGTGTGCAAAAATGGGAGGTTGAAATTATGGATTTGTTTTGTTACCACGGGCAGCTGATTCTCCAGAGTTTGGGCCCAATGAGCTCTTTTCTCCTTTTCCCTTACGTGGTTCATGATACTGAACCATGGCATTTGTGAGTTCATTTTTCTCCTTCTGGTATGCTGGAATATGTTTTCTCCTACCGCATAACTGCATAACTGTCACAAAAAAAATACTTAGGAAAAACTTGTTAATGATTTTGACTCAGGTCACGAGGCAGGTTTTTTTTGTTCTTTTTCCTTTTTTTTTGGAGAGGTTTTTCCTATAGGGCCTGTGTGCTCTCCAGAAAGACAGAGAGAGACAGAGAGACAGAAAGCGAGAAATCACCACCCAGGGGGGATAGTCACACCGCAATTCCTTCTCCTCTATTCTCCTCTCGGGATCTTGGGCACGCATGCACACGCGCCCGGCATGCATTTAAGCCACCGGATCCGGGACTCAAACCGCGGTGGACTACATGGGAGTCCAGTGACATAGCCATTACACTAACTGCTGGTCCCAAGAGGCAGGTTTTAAAGACATGGTACATGATTGAGACAGTCTAGTTAAGTGTATTTGTGGGCTGTTTTAAATATGACTTGAGAAGTATTTCTGTGGAGGGGTCCTGTGTAGGTCATTTGATTTATTGCTCTGATTTCATAGAAAAACTAAGCTATCCTAATTGTTGTCCCATTTGCAATTTTGTGTTTTATAAATCCTAAAAGGAACTTGAAATAGCTTCTAGCTAGACCTCTAACGATAAAGGCGAATCATCCTTTTAAGGTCATGAACATGTGTGAGTTCACTGGTCAGTACTTAAGAAGGAAAAGCGACAGTTTTGACTAAATATTTCATCATTCATTCTTTCTTGGAGAGGAAATGGAAGGAATAAGTTGATTCTATGCAAAGAAAACAGTAGTTAAAGAAAAAGCCCAAAACAGAATGGGGTTTAATGTCTGAGTTTCAGTACTTGCCTACAAGGTGGTCATCAAGGCTGAAGTACAAAGAGCAAAGAGGAGGTTGTCAGAGATGATAATGGAGAGGACAGCAGAGTCCAGTTTGTAAGGCAGTGTTAAGGAATTGATCTTTTTCCTAAGAGTTATGACAAACCTTTGAATGCATTTTGGTAAAGCATACATTGGGAGTGGATGGGAAAAATGGCAAGCTATTACCAACAATAGACACATGTACTTTTAACTTCATCTTAGAGGAAAATGTTGATGTAAAAGAAAAATAATAACAAGGACAAATTTCAAGATAACCTCTCTTAGAGTTTATTGGGAAAGACTAACATCTGTTATTTGATTTTTTGTTTTGGATGTTTTTGTTTGTTTGTTTTGGGTTTTTTTTTTTTTTTTTTTTTGGTTTTTTTTTTTTTTTTTTTTTGGTTTTTTTTTTTTTTTTTTTTTGGTTTTTTTTTTTTTTTTTTTTTGGTTTTTTTTTTTTTTTTTTTTTGGTTTTTTTTTTTTTTTTTTTTTGGTTTTTTTTTTTTTTTTTTTTTGGTTTTTTTTTTTTTTTTTTTTTGGTTTTTTTTTTTTTTTTTTTTTGGTTTTTTTTTTTTTTTTTTTTTGGTTTTTTTTTTTTTTTTTTTTTGGTTTTTTTTTTTTTTTTTTTTTGGTTTTTTTTTTTTTTTTTTTTTGGTTTTTTTTTTTTTTTTTTTTTGGTTTTTTTTTTTTTTTTTTTTTGGTTTTTTTTTTTTTTTTTTTGACAAGTAATTTTACCTTTCCAGTTCAGTAAAATGTACCTGATCCAAGTCAATTTTCATATGCACTGGAGTTTGGGTTTTTGGAAACATTTACTATTGATGATGCAAATATTTATACTGGGCACAGATTTTCATTTTCAGTAGTTTGAAGAATGAGAGCTGTCTGATAGTTCCCATTGCATTTCTAAAATGTGGAAAATAAAATATAAATGGTAGAAGGGTAAAGGAACTGGTGATGAAATGCCTAAAGCTGATAAACAATAGCCAAATCATGTTTGCAAGCTTTTCAAAGGTGGTATTTAATGAGTTGGAGACTTGTTTTAGAAACGAAGTTTCGAATCACCACTCTGAATTTAGTTTTGCCTTAAGGAAATACCCACCGTGAAAGGTTTTAAAATCACCCTGAAAGACTGGAAGGTTTTATAGAATTTGGGCAAGGCGCCAAATTTTGAAGTCTGAGATCAGCTGGTGTCACTGGGTTAAATGCATTCCAGTAACAATGTGTTTTGTGTCACATTTTTATCCACGAGCATTATTCCTTCCAGCGTTTCAATGTATCTTATGCATAAACCCATCAAACAGCTCTGCCACAGCTTCTGACTTGAGTTACTGCATTCTTTTATTAATATATTTGAGCTGAGATAGGGCTTAGATGATGGAATAGGGGCTTTTCTTAGTCTAGGCAAGAGCTGCAATTTGAGAATTTTAAGGAATAATAATAGTTAGATGAAAGTAAAATACACCAATCTTGGATATGGTACAGAATATTTGGGGGCAGTTGGTGGCACAGGGATAATGCAACTGGTCCCTCATGGGAGGGTCCTGGATTCACATCCTGGAGCCTAGCCTCCTTATGCACATCAAGCTCACATGTGCCATGATCTGGGTGGATATTTCTTTCACCTTTTAAATTGTTTATTTTCATCAGTATTTTTTAAACACTGTTTATTTTCTTGGAGGAGAGTACTTTTTACCTAGCTGTCCATATCTGACACACAGAATTCAGGGGTAAAATCTGAAATATTCGTATACTTTTAAAGGATACTCCCTTTAGCCTGGGCTGCATGTGGTTACAAGAATCTACCTTGGAACAATCTCCTACACTTAGGCCTATTAAACTTAATGTCCAATATACTAAATACTTTGGAACTAATCAGTCCATTTTTGATAAAGCTATTAAATCAACTCAAGGATCAAAAACAGAGAGGGAGGGAATCATTCTTCCTTTACGGTTTCAGATTATTTGATGTCTACAAATATAGAAAGTTGGACTACGGGAAAAAGTCATAGTTGGAGTACATATATAGGAAGTCTACATACATAGGAACTTGGACTATGGCATAAAGTGTTTCACAAGGAGTTAAGCCTCCTTGACTATTTGAAAGACTAATGAGACCCTTGTTTGCCATCAAACTTATAAAAATTCACATTTTGACCTGTCATTTTGCTCAAGTCAAAGTGAGTACACACAGTGTGTTTGTGTCTTAATTGTAATGTGCTATTCACGTAAGTGAGCTTCTCTGTCATTCAAAAATGAAAATAGAGAGAAAGGTACCCCACTGTGAAATACAAATATCCTCGCTTAATGGTTGTGCTGTATAGATATCATTTGGGGGTATAGATATTTGTTGGAGTATTTGATATATGTAGGCATTGGGGGGGTTAGAGTTAACTGTGAGTTTAACGTTCGTGGAGGAGCTGTGATATATAGAAATTTCTCTGCCTATTGAAAATATCTAAAAGACGAAAAAACATATTAAACTGAGTCTAAAATCACTTGCTGACTCTATCATTTTAACCAAAAATTATATCCGTCATTCTTCCACATCATGTTTTTTTTTTTTTTTGGAGAGGTTTTCGCTATAGGGCGAGTGTGCTCACCAGACAGAGACATAGAGACAGAAAGTGAGAAATCACCCCCAGGGGGGGATGGTCACGCCGCAATCCCTTCTCCTCCATTCTCCTCCCGGGATCTTGGGCATGCATGCACACACACCTGGCGTGAGTTCTAAGCCACCGGGTCCGGGATGCGAACCGTGGTTGACTACATGGGGGTCCAGCGACATAGCCATTACGCTATTCTTCCACATCTTTTAACTCGTTCAAAAAACAGACATCTCTGCAGATAATGAGATGGGAATTGCCATGATCTGTTCAATGAAGAAGGTAGGAGTTTCAAGTATCCATTTAATGATCCCAATTTTGTTTAAAAAGTAGACACAATATGCAGAGGAGAGAGGCTGAAATAAGAGGGTTTTTTTTTTTCACATTCCTAAAGTTTCCAGAATTTCTACAGTTGGCTTTCATTAATTTGATAATTAATAAACCCTGTTGGTTTTATACCTGCTCTCCATTTCAGACAAAAATATAATTGGAGTTGGTAAGTATGATAAGCAAAATAGTGCCTTCTCCCAAAGATGTCCACATTTTAATCCCCAGAATCTGTAAATGTTACTTTGCATGACAAAAGGTATCCTAATGGTGAGACTAAATGAAAGATCTG